ACTTCTCGGTTACATCCCAAACAAACAAAAATCGTCTGGAGGATGAACGTATGGTTTATTACTCATTCAGTGTAGTCACAAAAGCACGTAAAGACAGATGAGGTTTTGAGTGATGTGTCATCACTAGTATTGGAAGAAAAAACATGCAGCAAATTTCAGTTTAAAAACTAAAGTTTTCCGCCAATTAGGATGCAGAGATAGACAAAATTTGTAAGAAGTTTGACCTGATAGAGAGAGATACAATCAGGTAAGTGAGACCAGGTAGATTGTGAGAACCGTTGATACAAGGTGACGTAGATGAAATGTTAAAGATAGGAGCTTGCCAAAACACCTTATTAGAAATAGAAATGGGTCAATAACCTGTTTAGCAAAACAGGTGAAAATAAGAATGTAACATCAACAATACCTTAAATAAATGAAGTTTTGAGTTATTTTGTTGTTGAGGTCATAACTATCAAAAATAGGTGCTGAATACAGGCCAAACAGAATTAATCACATAACTGATCAATTTTATTATATCATACGGCCATGTCATGAATATTGTATTCCACACGTGTAATAAAATCTATAGGTGCTGTTGTCAAGTGAGTTGTTTTCTTCACTTTCGAGTCGAGACAACGGCCATTTGCATTCTTTGCTCGACAAAGGAAAGTGGCGTTTTTGAAAGCTCGCAAAATATATTTTTAGTTACTATTTGTGTTCAAAACAAACTTAGCATTTACTATTCACACCAAACTGATGAACCTAAATCCTAATTTGTAAATAAGAATGGCTTCCTAGCCTACGCGAGAAGATAAAATCAAGCACTGGTCATCTAATTTCTTTGTGTGTACAGACAATTATCCTGAATCGATAGAGAGTCTTCTTAACAACATCTCAATCATCGGCGTGTAATTTTCTTTCATTTTAAATTACTGATATCGTATGTTCGGCATACGCTATGATTTAAAACACCCAATAAGGGACCTCTTGTCATTAGATTTATTTTTTGAGTCCTCAATTAATGAAATGTTCATATATTGCAGTAAAAATGTTCACTTTTTACGGCTTCTACATGTTGCGGGTTTTTATTTTGACACGGTTAATCTGAAAGTATCGTTCAATAATAAATAATCTGTTGAAGTATCAAATTGTAAATATAAAAAGTTTAAAAAGCACGACAAATTATCAACATATCTTGATGTAAAGTTTATGGATCGTGCAATTATCTTATTGGCAGTTGAACATGGGTTCCCGCTGATTATCTTTCTTTTAAGAAATGATTTATCAAAGCTATAGTCATGCCACAGTTTCCAATGTGAAGCTACAGGTTTTGTTGGGAATGCTGCAGGAATCCTGAACGCATAACAGCTAGAACTACATGCTAATGATTCTGTAGGAATCAAAATCCAGCTGGAACCCATCGAACCCCCTTGAAATCCATAAGAAACACTAACAGATCGGTTACAAGTACTATACAGTAAGCCGATCTTAAATAACGACAGTCTGTTGAAATACCTTTAACCTAACTGAACTGTAATGGTCTCGACCGAACTACACTAAATGTATAGTTTTGTTGATCTTGTATCTTGAACACGCAGAGAGACACATTTGTTCTGTACTCTAAGTCCAATATACATTTTATGACATTTACATATGTTAGAATTCATATTTGCAAATGTTCCTTATGGTATACAATACAATTTCATGAATATGCACATACATTTATAATAAATGCTTTATGTGATATTTTAAATGATTTGAAATTCATATATTTATTTTATAGATGAAACGGATGAAACAGATTTCATGGAGATGTTGAACCATCTTTGATACAAAAGATCTTATAAAATTTACGTTGCCAGGTCTTAGCAAAAGTTGTTTTGCGCATCTTTTTACGATGTATCATGCACAAACGGTCTAATTTTTCTTCAATATATTACTGTAATCATTGCATTAATGTATTTCTTTAACGCATTTTGTTTGATATTTGGCAATCGTAATTTAATAAATGCAAATGATGCGCCGTCTTATAAATAACACGAAATTCTCGAGTACTTGTCAAATCAGATAGTGTCTTCTAACGCGGAACAAAGTGAAAGGACAGGGCGATGATAGTCCAACTAGAACAAAATGGCAAAACTTCATTGACATCTACCTTGTCGATATGGCATGTTCATTCAAACTCAACGTTTTACTGATTTCTGTATTATAATGATGGTACATGTTTATATAAATGTTTTACTTTATACAAAAACAATGTACGTATTAAACGTGTCGCAACGTTTGAAGACCGACTGGTCCATTTGTCAAGCTACGACTCGGAACTGGAGTGTGTTGTAACACGTTTAAGTCGTACATTGTTTGTATAAAAAGTAAATCTTCGCTAGTACGTGTTTCCAAAGTAATGAATCTTATTTAAGATAATCCAATGATGATGAAATATGTCAAAATCTACGTTTGTCTTTATATCTTGATTCTTCTTCCCTTTCTTTGTCATCTTTCTGCTCAACATTTTCTTGATTCTGCTCTTTCTGTCACTGTCCTCTTTTTTTTATCTGTCTTATTTTACTTGCAATATCTGCTTTTCTTCCAGATATAAAATACAATGTAATTATTATCAATGGTTTGAGATCTATAGCAAGTAATTGTATTTGATACCATAAAATAGTCTGTTGAATATTTTAGTGCAAAGATAGTGGAATAGTATTTGTGTTACTATTTTTGATAACTTGTCTGATAAGAAATACATATATATCATATAAACAATTTATTTATTTATTTTTCCTACCATTCACAATTTTATGACGAGATATCACCTGATTCAAACCTCTGGAATACAGCTGTCGCCTCGCTCGAATCTGATCTGATTTAATTTGATTCCTATTCTGGTAAATAAACACTGAAATCATCTAATATATGTTTTAAGTTATGAATAAACAACAGGTCTTTGTGATATCCATGTAACCAGCTGGTGGAGATGTTAAACAATATGGAAGCTCGTGTTTACATGGCTGTTTCTTTTGTGTGTTTGTACAAAATTACTATTACAAGAGGACGCGTGCGAAAAGAGACATTACGGTAAAAATATACCAATACATAGTTCAACAGAGCAAAGCAAAAGATAGCTGCTGACAGTTTATTTAAAGTTTCAGAGGATGAAATATTCAATCTGTTATAAATACATGTATACAACATTTGATATAGCGCCCTATCTAGCTAACATAAGCCACTCTAAAGCGCTTTACAGTACATAGATATACAATTAATACAATTAGCATATATACATTAATCAATACAATTTCTGAGGAATTCGCAGGAGCTGCCTTATTAGGCGCTAACTACTAGTCCTATGCCACCTGGCTAATATCTCCCTATGTGTGTATGCCTGCGTGTGTGCTGGAGATGTAATGTGTTCTGTTTGTGGTGGGGCCGTGCTTCCAACGGCATCATTTATAGTGCCGCCTCACTTGAATGCTACAGCACAGATATCACAACATCCAACCCAGACCAATTTATACTCCACCTGGGTTGTTGGAGTTGTGTGGGCAGGAGAAAAACATTCTCTGAATATCCATGCGTACGCCGACTTCGGGGATCGAACCCCGGCCGGCTGCGTGGAAGGCCGGAATGTTAACAACTTGACCAATCCGCCCATTATACAAGGCTTTGCATGATAATTAGAATTGCTGATATAAACTAAGATAAACTTTATTTATTTTACAACAATCATGACAAGCTTATCAACTTCTATAAATCACTGTTAACCCAGATGGAAGTTCTGCGGAGGGTCTTAATGTGGGAGTTAATCGGAGTACCCGGAAAAAACACCACGGGATCGGGCAAGTGACCCATGACCTTCGTACGTCCGATCACACCTCGGCCATCTTGGTTAATGGCAGGTGCGCTATCCACTGCGCCACTCGACCACCACTGACTGGTTTGTTTTTAAGGATCTCCTTACCACTACCAAAAAATGTACCTATGCATTTTACAGCTTTTTTCTGGCATGACTCTAGCATTAACACATCATTGGTGAAAAGGAAAACCATACCTTCCGGAACATTTGTGAAAAAAAATATTGAAATAAAATAAGCAAAAAACAATCAACATCAGTCTTTTGAGGGTAAAAGTTCTATTACGGGAGTGTCGCTACAATAGAGCTGCCTTGTCAACAGTAGCTATATATATATCTCTTCTAGAGATGAAAGTACTAGAGGCTCGTTGTTGAGATTTTTTTTATATACATAATAGCGAACTATTATGTTACGTCATATTTTATGACGTCACAACATCTTCTTCAAATAAACAGTCTGAAGAATCTCCTAGAAGAGATGAAAGTACAAAAGACTCGTTGTTGAGATTGTTTTTGATTTTTTTATACATAATAGCGAACTATTATGTGACGCCATAGTTTATGACGTCACAACATCTACTTCAAATAAACAGTCTGAAGGATCTCCTAGAAGAGATGACAGTACTAAAGACTCGTTGTTGAGAATTTTTCTTTTTATATTATATATTTATATATGGGTCAAAGAAGTAATATAGACTATTGGTTTTATATAATAGCTATATTTTCAATTATAGTATATCAGTTCTGTCTTCTTGTAGTATGATGTATATGTACATGTAACTGTTCTGTTTCACTGTGTCTTGAAAAAGGAGCGGATCGCTCCAAAAATTTGACAACCTTAACTTGTCCACACTGTTGCAATTACTTCTTTGCCCCATATATATATATATATTGTGCACTGGTCCAGAAACGTTACAGTTAAATCTAAAATGAAATTTTGTGAGGTTACTGTGTGTACGAATAAAACAGTGGATTCACCGTTCTTTTACGTGCAGTGGAAAAGGAATATTTGAGGTTCCTGAAATTACCGAACTTTTTCGCCTCAAAATGATGAATGAAGTGTTAAGCGTAACGTATACGGAAGGTTACATTTGAACTCTGATTGATGCAGATGCACAAAGTGTTAGTAATATTGGGACATTGTTCACCTCTCCTGGTGCTCCATAGTTTCCAAACGGAAATGATCGATATCATCAAATCATATAATCAAGATTGCTGCTTCAGCTGCCGACGTATCAGTTGTTTTCACCATCAGCCGAGAGTGTATCCAACACAAGGCATCAGTACACAAAAGGTACGTAAAATGCTTTTGCACTGTATATAGCATTGTATTGTTCTTTTCATTTTAAACATGTAAACACCATATAACTATCCATTCTTTTTGCGGTTTCTTCATTTGGTAGGGAAAGTTTGTTTAAAATTGCTGGCATCATTTAGAAGATCCTCCGTTTATATTTAAAAGTTACTTATGTACAGGTATCACTGTCCTACGGGACTACGTTTTGACGTATATACTGTCACCGCCCCCTAAATTCATTTCGGATATAGCTGTAAAAAGGTAGCTCAATCGGTTAAAGCGATAGTATATCAATTTGAAAGTCAACGTTCGAATCCTGGGACCGTATTCATGAAACTGTTCTCATGCTCAAGCATGACTTCTGTAATCGAGCCAACTTTCTTGTAACTCCCCCAAACCATGTAACACGGTAAGCAGGTGTAAAAATTGAAAACCGTAATAGGCTTAAAGTCTTTTCATATTTCCCACATATCATTGACAAAGCGATATGTTTTGGTTTATTTATCACTTGCACAATAAATTGGACTCGGGCGCACAGAATCTGTGTTTGGGAATGAGAACGGTTAAATGAATACGGGCCCAGGTCTAGCCCCGCTGACTGTTCACAGGCAGAATAATGTTGTTGATTATATTCTGTTTAGTGCATCTTTATAATATTTTTCATAAAAGTTCCGCCAGGTATAGTTTTCTTTTCAAGGGGAAGTTAGGAAATCTAAAGACATGTCAGTAAAACCTGTTTCCAATGCGTGGTTACAGGTTTTAGCAGTGGTACTTGGTTCCGTATACGTATAGTTATACAAATAATCTTAAAGACGTTCTCTCTATGTCCCTTGTATATCAGTTTAGAATGTAACCGTAATACAAACCTGTACCAGAGAACAGGAGAGAGCAACAGCTCGTAAATGCACAAAACATCTTTTTGACGTTACATAATTTGAAGATTGTTTTTGATGATATTCAGTGATAATGGCTTTAATTAAGCATGACTATCATACTCGTGCCAAGTTAGTTATAGCAATATTACTCTGAATCATAGGACTATAATATATTGATTCGTAATCATAAGTTGACGTTTTGTCAATGCAATATCTTTGCTTATTGTTATCGTTTAAAATATCTATGAATGATGCTGTCAGAAACATGATATCTACATTGGATGACAGCTGCTGTCAGAAACTTGATATCTGCATTGGATGACAGCTGCTGTCAGAAACTTGATATCTACATTGGATGACAACTGCTGTCAGAAACTTGATATCTACATTGGATGACAGTTGCTGTCAGTAACATGATATCTACATTGGATGACAGCTGTGAGACAAACAGCTGGAAAAAAATATTTTTCCTCAAATATCGTTTTCAAATTGTGTACATAATTATGGTTGTTAGAACTATTCAGAAAGTACTGTATACAGGGAATGTTTTGCCACACTTAAACTTTCGCCCTTTTTGTCTTTCGTAGTGAGGGCGGATTTATCATTAGAGTGAACAGCAGTGAACAAAATATTAAACAAAGCAATCAATGTGAAATGGGAAATAAACACTGGCCGAACACGTATTTCCAGTGTAGGGCGAAAGTTTCTCGGTATACAGTATCTAGTAGGGCTGCTACGATATATCGCGATATTTTTTGAATACGGTACGATACACCATATTTTTAGGGAGGTCAAGTTACACATCTACGATATTTCCCGGATTTTGTCGTTTCTAAATTTAGTCTACTCATATCCGTTCCAACATGACGATTGACAGCTCCAGGTCGCCATGCACGTCGAAAGGCGTGGCCTATTTCCTGTTGTTATATTGCCATTAAACATTGCAACATATCTTTTCGCATCGCTTCTACTGCTACTACAATGTAAATGTATCGTGATTCGTATCGTATCGTGACCACAGTATCGTGATACGTATCGTTTTGTCGTGTTAAAGTATCGTTGCAGCCCTACTATCTAGTACGTAAATAGTAAGAAGGATTTACAATTTTAAAACATACAAGTAATGTGACACTAAGGATCATTAAGGACGGAAAGTTTGGATTGTAGAAAAGCTCATGTAGGTTTAAGTGCTTGGGTGTGACGTGTCGATGACTAACATGATATGGACACTGTCGCCATAATCATCAGACAAACGGTGACAGTGGCCATGTGGTACACAAAATTGTTTTACTGGTTGTGTTACATCAAGTTACTTTTACAGTCCAAACTTCCCAACCTTTATGACCATGGTGATCGGAATTACATGCATGAGTTCGTAGTTCACATTACTTCCCAGCTGATGTCATTCGCTCCATACCTAAACAGTACTGTGTTCAATTCTTCACGATTGTGTTTTCTTTAACTTTAAAATAATAATAATAAATTAAAAAATAGTACAATACAAATAAGTAGGTAGATACAATAAATATAAATCTAATAAATAAATAATATTTCCTCTCTAGTCACGTGACCTGAATATCAACATGGCCTGCGAAATGTCGAAAACCACACGGGTCTCCCCTGTTTTACGTCATCTACGGAAGCTGCAGCAGAATGCGAAGGCAAATAATGCTCCAAGCGACGCTCTGATACAGATAGAGACATGCATAGACTGCATTCACGTAAGTAAGACATAATAACAAATAAAGCATATATCAGTGACCATGTTTACATATTTACTTTGAATATAATCGTCAACTCCATACATTTGGTTATACGCATAGTGTAAATGATGTACGTATTCTAAAATTAAAATGAGAAAAAGCTGTAGATGAAAATCATTTTCTATCATTTAGTTCCGTACACGTACAAATCATTTATGATGTCTTAAGATTTTTCTGAAAATAGAATAATAAATATTAACTAAAGTAAAATAATAAAATCTAAATGCATACAATGTATATAATTAATGCAATATCTCAGCTTAACATAATGAGTAATTAAGTTAAAAAGAATATGCGTGGTGTTGGCCATTTTATTGACACCGTCCCTCCTCCCATCAAAATTTAAAAAATAAATGAAAATGTTTCTATAATTTTTAAATACTTCCCCAATACTTTTATGAAAGCATGTAGTTGCGTTGTTTTCGGTTGCAGTGGTAACAAGTTCCAATTTCAATTTTATCATGCTTTTGCGAAGTTTTTCTTTCGGAAATATTTGAGTTTTTGCAAAAGTGTGCATCGTGGTAGCAAAGAGAGAAAAAACAAGGCGAAACCAAACAAACTTGAACACATATTTAAGGTCCATGAAGTCATTTGTAAGTTGATCTTATTGGAGGAAAATGCTTCCTGTAAAATGCATCAAAGATATTCATTGGTATTCAATATTGCGTTCATGATTGTGATTTTCTTTACTACATGTAGTGCGATTCATGCTAATGTATTGATGTTGAATAGTATTACATTATGTTTCTGACGCAGGCCAGGAATGACTATTGTGAAACCATATCTAGTCCTCCAAGTGACGTCATAGACAACATCGTCACCGAGACGGAGACCCATCCCTGGCAGCAGGTGCGCGATGAGGGCAAAGTCCTTTCTGATGTCGCACCCATAATGTTGTCTGGCGCACTGGAAGGTCAGACACTTAAATATTTTGCTTTGTCTGGTATTAAATCTGGTATATCACATTATTCCTATATCAAAGTGACCTACTAAATAACAGACTTCATCTCATATTTTTCCATTACAGCACTTTTTCAGGAATTGATATTTACATTCATGAAAACCTTGCCGTGTATTTTATAGATATATTTCTCAATGTATAATATTTGTAAATTTTTATCGATCTCGTGGGTTTTACCTATACATATTGGTGCTTCGATCTTTATTTCAGCGTTTTACAATTATTGGAGAAATATACGAACGTTCTTAATTGAAGTAATAAGTATATACTTAAAAATGATACGAGTAATTTGTTACACTTTTGAAGACCACTGTAGGGTTGTTTCTGATTTGGAAAAAATGTATGGTTTATTAAACGTTACATTCATATGCTTGTGTTCGTTCCTTTAAATCATTACCAGGAACATTCTTGAAGATGCTCACAGGAATGTCAAATGCGAAGCGAGCGCTCGAGATTGGTCTTCTAACCGGATGTAGTGCTCTTTCCATAGCAGAGGCACTTCCGGCTGACGGAGAGGTAGTCACGTGTGAGATATCAGAATATCTTGCCAGTTTAGCCAGGAAATTGGTTGACCATTCACCACACGGAAAGAAAATAAAAATAATGACAGGTCTGTACATACTGGACATGAAAGTATATTTTAATAAAGTCGTCATCAATCAAATAACAATTATTGATATTGTAACATGTTTTCATTATTAATGAAATAGTCCAAAGTGTCTAACACATATTTGTCTTAATATGATGTTTTATAATTAATTGTCCACTATACTCCCACAATACGAAAATAGTGGATATCATGACATCTTGTATTTTCATTCTCTAAAATACGAAACCGTGTATTACATGACCAGACACATGCCTGTATCGTTACTATACGAGGGCCGTTCAAAAAGTATTGTCCTCATTGCGATACCGTGGAAAAAATGCGTTCAGGCGTGACTTGCAATCGATTCACGGGTAGGTGAATTTATACACACCACGTGGCAACAGACCCGAGAATATTTGGTGCAGGAAGATTGACAGTAAAACAAATATCAGTGTAGGCATTTCAAAGGGGTCCGTTCATTCCATTCTGAATTATTCTTTGGGATATAGGAAGATTTCTGCAACATGGATGCCGCTTTTATTGACACAAAACAAAAGAGTGTATGTGTTTCAATGGCAAAGATTTTGTTGAAAACGTATCAACATTGCAACCAGCGTCGACTTGCCGAAATTGTAACAGGTGATGAGACATGGGTTCTCTATTTTGAACCCCAAAGAAAAATGAATGTTAAAGTATGGCTTACCAGAAATGGAAAGAGACCCGTAATTGCAAAGCGTTGCCAAAGTACAAAGAAGGTTCTCTATGGTGTGTTCTTCAATTCGAATGGTGTTGTTGCCCAGATAGCTATCCCAAAAGGCAGGAGTATAACGGGCAGTTTGTATGAAGACATTGTATTGAAGAAAGTGAAGAAATTCTATCAAAAAAGGGACCAAGAACAGGGATACGTGGTATTCGTTTGCTTCATGACAATGCTCCAGCACACAAATCAAAGTTGGTCAAGGATTTTTCTGAGAAAAAAAAAGTTACTGACCCAACCTATTCCCCTGAAAAGACATCTGTCTGGACGTCACTACAGGCCTCGTGTGTCAGTTGGAGCTGCATTCAGACGTTGGACCCGAAGGCTGAAACGCTGTGTTGTTGTAAAAGGTGAAAACTTCGAAGGAATGAAATAAACAAAATTAAATTGGTGTACTTCGTACTTCGTACGGCCCTCGTACATCTCAACTCACATGTAACGCATATGTCTTCATCAGTATAGCTAAAGTATGTAACTTATTGTTGGTTGTAAATATATCCATTTATACATGCTTTATTTAAAACCGGGTAATACACTATGTGACACCAGCCCTATCAATAGCAGCAGTTTACATGTGAATTTTACAGGTCCCGGTACAGATTGTCTGCAACAGATGGCCAAAGAAGGACAGAAATTCGACTTTGTCTTCATTGACGCCGACAAGCCTGGGTACATAAGGTACTACAAGGTACGTGTCCAGTTCGACAAAGTCTTCATTGGATCCGCCGGATAGGTTGGTTACATATTGTAGATTATTACAAGGTAAGTGTTTAGTTTGACAGTCTTCATTGACGCCGACAAGCCTTGTTACTTAAGTTACTAAAAAAGCATGCGTATTTAGTTTAACAAAGGTTTCACTCACGCCGACAAGTTAGAATACATAGGCTACTACAAGGTACGTGTTTTGTTTGACAACGTCTTCACTGAATCTGGAAAGGCTGGATACAATAACTTCTACAAGACAAGTTCTTCATTTACACGGAGAGGACTACCGGGTACGTGAACATCGCCACGGTCTCTATAACCGAGTCAAACATCACGGTCTAAATTTATTTGAATGGTGCATGCATTATTTAGGGGCTAAATAGTTGTTTTGAATGATATATGTAATAAAAGGGAATTTTTCTCATCTAATAAAAACTTCAGAACATGCTAATGATATGGTTGTGTGAGTTGGCCAACATGCAACACACACTAACACTAACGTATTTTACACCAGGCCATCCGTATTCTTGTCAAACTGACCAGCGTGTAACATTATTTATAGATTATTATGGACAACGACATGTTGACTCCCCGGGGAACCATATTGGTGGACAATGCGTTATATGCTGGCATGTCCTACTTGCCTCAGGACAAGCTGCAACTTTCCGCGAGATTTACCACCACAAACCACGTGATGCGAGAGTTCAACGAGTATGTGTACAACGACGACAGAGTTTCTCAGGTGAAGTTGCGTCACAACCTCTAATTCAATTTTATTACTAAAAGCTGCATAAAACAGTTAACTCATTTTGATTTACTCGCATCTTTTACAGACATTTTGCGGTTGATAGTTATTTGAAAATAAATATTCCAAAACGAGTGGTGGTTGGTAATCATGTTTATTAAACTCGAGTTAGTTACATGTGGTTTTTTAGATTGCATAGAGCCACAAGATTTATCGAGCGTCTTTCACAATTTAAAAATTAACAAACGAGAGTTAGATAAACATGATAATCCACAATCATATGTATGGGACCCTTTTTCTCCCGCGACGTCCATATATTATAACTAGATGTTTTCTTTGGAATGCATTATTCCTGTTTCCGATCGAGGTGAAAATTACCATGAGTTATGATGTCACAATGGAAGATGACGTCGGAAAGCATTGTAATTGTCAATGTTCAGGGTATTACCAACGATTGTGCACCAAGAAAAAGTGTTTCAGCTTCAAGTGGGTTTATCTAATGTGTCAGGAGTTAGGAAACCTATAATGGCTGAAGGAGAAACATTTTTTTCTATGTGAATTAGGAACACCAGATATAGCAGCTGTATGAATCTATTAAGACAGAAATATACAGTAGACACTATCGTTGTATTTTGACTCAATGTTGATACTGTATACCGGTAAATTTTCGTTTCAGTTTAATTTTCGCCTCTTTTCGCCCTACGTAATGAGGGCGAATTAATCATTACAGCGAATATAAGTAAACAACATAGTATACATAGGCATTGACTGAGAAAGGCGAAAGTAACGCTTGCCGAAATTAACGCTTGGCGAAATTAACACTAGGCGAAAATTGATTTCATGGGCGAAGGGCGAAAGTTTGACTGGGCGTATTATTCCCGGTATACAGTATATCATGTTAAAGATACAGTTGTCAATTTGTATCGTTATAGAAAGTTGTATCGACACTTCTTCCATTTCGCCGTATTCTACATGATTCGTAACTCTTAAGACATTTATTCTTGAATCATTAAATCTTAAGCTTAACTAATAAGCCCTAAGTGGACGAAATGACCACATGTTCAGTAAAATGTTAATGGTCTTCTGCATTTACGAACAACATTTTAAAATTAGTTGCTTCCTTTCTTAGACTAACTGGATTAACTAGTGATTATTATAGATCCAAGTTTGTATTTATAATAGCAAAACCGTCCTGATTTTCAGTATAGACTGAACTCTTGTGTGTTTGCAGGTCTTGTTGCCTATCCACGACGGAGTGATGATTATCAGGAGGAAGGAGGCATTCGAGGGAACAGCCTAAGAATGGCAGGAACGCAATTGGAAATGAACAGCGGATTATTGGACCAAAAGTCTGACCATTGACACTATTCCGTCTTTGCGTATTGCAGAGTTATCTTCTCTTGGGAGCAGGTATTGATTGTTACGTCATTGGTTTGTGTGAGAAAATTACGTCGTTTTCTCAAAAATTGATGACGTTACTCTCACAAACAAGTGACGTAACAATCAATACCTGCTCCCAAGAGAAGAAAACTCTGCAATATGCAAAGACGGAATATAGTATCCTCGATACTCTATGGGTTACGCTCACTTTTGCTCTCGCCATCCCTGGAATATGTCATAGCAAAATGGAAGGTACGCGGCTAGCTATTTGATTGATCTCAGATAAAGGAAACCCTGACCAATTCCCAGGCTGATACCTGCCCTTTGCACACTGAGCCATTGCTATGACACATTCCAGGGGTGCAGAGAGCGAAAGAGGCGTAACACCTAGAGTATCAAGGATGACACCAGTGATGCATATGCAATAGACAGGAATAATAAAATATATCGGACTAGAAAATTAGTTGGCGGGGCTTGGTTGGACTACAAGTAGTACCAGTACACACTATATTCAAGGTTTACACACACATAATTGCAGAAAGAGATATTGGCCCGTATCTATGGAACTGTTTTCGTGCCTAAATACTGTGCTCAAACAGGTGACACGGTCAAAACATCAAGTCTGTCTTGACATTTAAAACGCTGTTTGGCTATTAGTATCTCCGAGATTCTTCCAAATCATCGACAAAACGTGATTTCGTTTTTAATATGTTATCGACGGCATAAGAAACCCAGCTTGGACGCTGACACTGAACTTGAGCAGGAGAACGGTTTCATGGATACGGGCCGGGAACTCGGAATTATACAAAACGGAGATAATTATGGAAATATGTAAACATTACAAGAGGTGGCGGTGACATCATATTTACAAAACGTAAAGATATGATTGAGACAAATAAATGTAAAGGAACATGTACCAATGTCGTGTTATAAATTACTGAACCTTGAATTAATTGGCAATCAGATAGTGCTGAATTTTCTTTGTACCATTCATTGTATTGACAAGTTGCTACTGTCACCTTACCCGTATACAAATAATCCTAGACATCTGACACAGTGTACATATATCGACATGTGTAAATATCGTATATCACTCACACAAAAAAAAATGATAAGCAGTTTCATAGAATTTTAGTATCACTTGTTTAATTTAGACAAATTGCTTCTGTCAGTTTTATCGCATGTAAATAGTCCTAGACATTTGATATAAAATTCATTATTTTTATGTGTTGATGTATCTAAAGTAGATTTTTGATAAACATTAAGTACATATATGGTAGCTGTATACCTCCCATCATAACAATGACGGTCGTCAATTTCAATAATAATATTGATGAATATTGAGCTAATCGAATTCTTGCTGTCTCTGTTCATGAAGTACATGAGTTTTAAATGGCGGCAGAATCAATAAAAGAAAGGGTTAATGAATTATAAAAAATAAAATCGTTTTGTTAACGTACAGACAAAGCATTTCATGATAGTACGACACTCTAGCGGGCCAAACACATCACGACCAAGTAAACGCATGAATTTACCTCTCTACAACACAATGCAGCACTGTACAGGGGGAAGTTTTGGCTGCTGTTTAATTTTCGCTTTTTATTTCTCGTCCTCCATAATGAGGACGAATTCATCATTACAGCGAACAATTGTAAACAACTTAATAAGAATACTAATTAAAAGAGAAGGGCGAAGTTATTGTTGGGCGAAAATTGATTTAACTGTCGAAGGGCGAACATTTGACCGAGCGAATATTTCCCGGTACATGGTACAATGTATATCACTTCTTAAGCCAAATATCTTATATTGATTAAAAAATCATCTGTTCCTCTCTACAAAGTCGAAACAAGAATCAGCAACACAAATTGAGAAAGCATCTAAAAAGGCACAACACCATGACCCTCACAGACACAGAAGACGTAAGCAAGTGCTTAGTAAGTTAGGGTAAACATTTCCTGCTCTATATGTGACAACAGTCTTGTTGTATCCTGTCAAATCCAAGTTATCTAGTCAGTATGACGAACGTTAAATTTCATGAAGCGTAGATGGAATTTTCTCTGATGGGAAGCCCTGGATACGTAGTTTATCGATCAACACGATGGATCTGAATAAAACTCCCAGGACAAATGTTAGACAGAACGACACTGGTGAAAGAATTACTAGTGTAATCAATACACAACAACTGAAAATTCGCTATTGTTTTTATAAAAATAAGTTATATCTATGAAGCTTCAGACTGGTTAAGAATACAAGTACATGTTACACTAAGTTTGAAAAACGATAAAGATATAGCCGGAAACGATACAATTCAACGCTATGATTTGCCGTAAAGGTAATCAACAGCCATAACGTTGGCTAATGTTCCGTGTAAATTAATTTAAATTTTAAGCAAAAAAAAATTCTAAGATAAGATGGGTTTTGTTTTAACTACTTCGTATCAACCCAGCAAATATAAGAGTTTATCTGTGTATCCTGAATGTTGAGTGTAAAATCGATGACACGTACGATAATTAGACGGGGAAGATATTGCCGCCCTGCTGATTGGCTAATGTGTGTAATGATACAATTTAAAATCATTGATGTCTGTAAGTCCTTCCGCTTGATCTGGTCCAGGATCAACAGCTCTCGGTTAAACAGCGTTACCAGATTCAATTCGGATGGATCGTACCTAAAGGGGAGACGGGTCCGCAGCAAAGTAAAATAGGTATGGCGTACGGGAACGGTTACGATATCCCAGTCTACGGACTAGACAATGGCGGATTCCATCTTCTCCACATTCTGGCGATTTGCTGTATATTTCTAAGCCTCATATCAGCTTTATCAATTGTGGTAGTTTCTTTTAAGCAAAATAGTGAAAAGAGTTTCTTTTCGTGGACAAAGAGCGAGCGGCTTGTTGTGTATTTGGCATTGTGTGACGGGTGCTTCAATATATCTCACTCTCTTGACCATTTCAACATTCTGCTGACCAAGGATCATGTCCGGCCGTTGGAACTATGTCAGTTTTACAGTTTTATTAATCTGGAATTTATCTTTGCACAGACTCTTATGGTGAATGTTATAGCAATCAACGCATTTCTCATGATTTACTTCGGGAAGAATTTAGACTTCGGTAAAAAAGATTGGAGACTTCTGGTTTGGGGGTTCGTCACACCTCTCGTACTGGACATCGTTTGTGCGGCCACTGGACAATTCGGACCCACAGGAGCTTAGTAAGTACAACTGTGCCGTACCATATACAAATATATATTTTCTGTTTTTGAACTTCTCCATTGATAGGAAGTTGAAAGATGTTGGAAACATTATGTGAAATAATATCTAAAGAGTCTAAGTCAGTAGTAAGTGTTCGTAGACTAAATATTAGCCAATCTTCAGTGACTTTTTGAGAACTATAAAAACAATGTGTGGTTGGTTAAACGTTGGCTATAACATGATTCATGGAAATACGAAAAAAACCCGTTTATTTCGAAATCTATGCAGAAAGACAGAGCAGAGATCTGTAAGCACTTTTTGGTCATTTTTCGTCTTAAAGAGAGTCGTATATATGTAAATACAGCAGTGTAACTAAAATCTCTGAAACACAGTAACGTTGAGCTAGACTGTTCATATTTATATAAGCAATAGATAGATTAAATACCACTTAAATACCAGGTTTGGATGGATGTTTAACCTTTAAATCTATGTATTAGTTTGTTCATCATTATTATCCCTATGTTATATTAATCAATTAACATGAATACAAATAATATCACATTTCTGGAAAAAATCATACCGACATTTGCCGGCTGTTAGACATTTTAATATTGTATATGGTATTAATTACTTTCGTTATCAAACGTAATGCATTAAACAAAATGTTATATAATAGATAATCACCACAGAGGCAGATTTAATTCTATGAACATTTTACACATAGCTACAAAAGTATGATCGTTGGAATGTTTGCCTGCTCTCTCTGTGGGACCGCAATGTTAACACACAGTGATGGCCACGATACGAGATTGATAACTTTTTAAGCTATATTCCCACGGTGCATTTATCTGTTCATTCAATAACCTTCCATGAAAGTCAGTTTTTAAAAAACAAACGAAAGAAAACCCTTTACTCTTTGAACAGACTAATTCTGCGAGTACTGATAACGTTGAGAATATTGGCAGTATTTCAATGTTTAGGTATCTTAATATGATAAGATAATTACCCAAGATCCAATTTTGCTAATACAGGATAAATCAACCCGAGTAAATATTTCGCCATATTTAAAAAAAATGATAGTGCACCTAATATTGCGTACACTGGTACCAAAACGTTCCATATGAAGGGTTTTACGATTTTTATACTCGGGTTTCCTCCCTCATTGAACCCTCCCTGAGCGTGTACATCCGGGTAAGCATTAATGATTAAAAGTCTCATTATCTAACGACTTCTTCTGAAGAACCATGAAGTCGTCAGTAATGGCATATCACGGAATGCAACTTTTCGCAAGGAGGTGTTATCATGTTTATTCAAATGAATGACCTTGATCTACCTACAATAAACTTTGTTTTTTTCACTTAAAAAGAAACTTTAATACAGCTAGTTTTTCAGGACCTAACAATAACTCCGCCTTCTTGAACTGTAAGATCGCTTTCTTGAACTGTAAAAACGGATGAATTCAGCATTGTTAATGATATCGCTCTTTGAGGTTTATTTTCGGAATACCAAAAGAAAAAGAACGTTATTTACCATTTATTTGTAGTCATTGCTATATCAAGCAACTGGAAGTTAAAAACCAAATTGTCAGGGATTATGACAGAAAAGGAGGGCGGGTACACTTGTATCCAGCATTTCTTTCACATTTACCACATAAAGTACTGTGTTATCCAGTGACTATACCCATGTCATATTTATTTTTTTGCGTATTATTTAGGATCTCTTCGACCTTTGTTTGATTGGTTGTAAGTTTCAATTGGTTTAATTGTGACGTCACGCACATTTAATATGAAATTGATAAAACTCGTCACGAATTTTTCATTACAGCTCGCCAGAGGCTCGCTAAATTGAAAAATTCTTAGACTC